CTATACTGTTGAGCCATGCTTTCATAAGAATTCAAACACATGGGGCAATCATGACCGTACCCTTTGCAAACCGAAAACGTTTATAGCAGGTCCTGTGGTATCAGCACCTTGACTACGCCCAAAGAGAAGGAATTAGCATTTTCATTTTTACTGACCTGACAACCCATTCAAATGACGTAAAAGAAACAGAGTGAATCGCTGAAGCAAAGCAAATGTACTGCCACAACATACAGCCCCAAAATCTCCTCTGATTGATATACACTGGTGTAACTGACTGGTAAAGTGTTAGAATTTTTGCCCCAAATTTGAAGTTATCGAAAACCATTCGCGTTCAAAAATGGTCAGCTGTGCGGCTCAAATACTGAAGACGAAATGGCCAGCGATACGAGGGGAAAAAGCGGAAAAATCCATTCGGAACGCAATGCCGAAGCGCACTTGTACGTGCACAAGACGAAGATGGGCGAGGTAGAAAGAGTCCCTTCTTGTTGACGCAGCCTCTTTCTGATCATCGCCTTCACTCTCACCTCTCGAAAGGGGGAGAATTAGGAAGAGAACAAGCGCACAACCAGGAAGTTCTTACAAATGAAAATTGGGTAGTGCCGTGACAGTGCACAGAGCCCTTGTCTCGTCACGAGGGTGTCGCGCTTTTCTCATGTCTAAGTAGTCCTCCATGTTTGCGTCCAAGACTGGCACGTTCAAAGAAGGCGCATGGACATCAAGAAACGTGGAGCGACTTGACTGAACCTAGCATATCGAGATAGTTTTACGAGATGCCCTGTGGACGGCGATGAACTCAATATCTTCTATAAATTCGAAAAAAACTGGCAAAGTGGCACCCCTCGAAAGGTAGGTTGTTAAGCAACTTACTGTCCACTTTAGGTTTCGAGAATGTCAAAATTTCATGAACATTACTATATAGACACGTATCCTTAAAGATGTACTGCTACTGCATGCTTGGACTACAATCACATGGACCACGCCATCGCTTACAGACGAACTGCTTTTAGACTATCAGTCGGATCGCCCAGCTGTCGCCGAGCGCTCCTCCTTCTATGCCACAGTCCAACTTCGCCGGGCCGACCTGGCTTCCCCTTGTGCGCTTTTCTCACGCGGGCTAGACTGGGTAAAATGTTCCAAATGGACAAAGAGCATTTTTCCTAGAAAAATATGTTATAAATAGCTCACATCGATCAACACTTATGTACATCTGACCCCCTAGCTAATTTTTTTACTTGAAGCAGGCCTTCTGAGCTGTGCAACATACAGCGCCTTGTTACCTTCGGAAGAGGGACAACTGTGAAGCCTTGAGCAGCAGTAAAAAGACCCTAACTTTCCCTTAATCATGTCAAAGTGTGCTTCACACCTGGAGTGCATGTTACTACCGACCCCGACAGAGGGCGTCCTCACTCCGAGCTATTTGGTTCCCATCTTTTTTGGTTCACTTGGTTCATGTCGACCTATATCCCCTAACATATCATCGTTGCAAAAACACAACAGGCAGATTTCTGGAGAATTTTTTGATTGTTGTTCCTCTCGTTTTAGGCGCACAATAAACCCCCACTCCCTCTCGCCATCACTGCAGGCATGTAATGCATGTCCAATATGATCCATGGTGAAAAGATATATGAAGTGTAGTGAAGGTTTGTTATCTATTTATCAATTGACACGATTACCTGTCATCCGTCGTTTATGCCCTGATCAGTAAATATGTATAATTTTGAAAGTGTAAAAGGTTCACCATTCCGAACTACGGCGACGACAGCAACGCCCTGCCAGCCCCTACCAGTTGTCATACCTTCTGTCACCCTTCGTCTATTTTCCCACCTTACCATCTATATCTATAGCACCTGCTGGGACCGACGCTTAGTTGGTAGTGTGAGCAGCGCTGTGAAAACGGTGACATCCCTTCTGAAGCCCCTTATCAAACCTTATCAGATGCTAGCAGTTCAGGTCACACACCGATAATGTTCTAATCCCATAGCCTGTATTATATCTCGGAATCAATGCCCGATGCTGAGACCCGCACTATCAACATGGAGGTCTTCTCCTTCTGACACCTCTTGTCAAATCTTATCTTCTATTAGCCATCCTTGTTACCCACCAGTGATGTTCCTGCACAATACCCTATATGTATCTTGGAACTAACCTCCCACTGTTGTTAAACAAGTCTGCCAGGCTCCCAAGATTTAAGGCATTTAGGCTTGCGGATGATGAAGGTACATGGCTCCATTTACTCCATCATTCCATGTGAAATGTGAGAGGTATGCTCGATGGGTGAAGAGCCTCGTTTACAGTCTCCCCAAATTCTGCTATCCACTTACCAAGGCTGTCTATGATGTCTTCGAAGAGGGCTTCGTCCAGTGATTTACAAGCTTTATAACTGAGTCTGCGGTACTTTTTCAGCACCCTAAAGTTCAGCTCGAATACAGCGGTTATCATGCGAGTCAAAACTTTCTCTTACGCTTGAGCGGACTGTTCCTGCGTCATTTTCCCATCCAACTGCAAGAATGCGTACTTGTAAACCTATAATAATGAAAGTGCACCGACCCTCATGAAGACTTCCATGTAGAGAAGCTCAGACAGACCATATTGATAAAATTTTTTGCTCTTTGTGGTAATTGCCGAAAGAATCTTTTCTGCAAATTGAAGACCTTCCCCTCAGTTCCGGGAATATCCTTCATCTGCAAAGGTTCAGATTTCGTGATGGCTGGACCACTGCGCCATGTCATACAGAAACATGGGACGTCATCAGAGTAGGAACAAGTTACAGCAAAAATTTCCTAGACTACAGACTCGACTGGGTAGGGGATACAGCAGTCGCCATAACTCAACCTCTGGGGTTGTTTTAACGTCTCGTTT